TTCATCACCTGTCCTACCCATCGGGCGTCAGTGTCAAAATATTTCTGGACCTAACTGTATTTTATGAACAGAATTGATATAGCCAGCCTGGAACAGAGTTCTGAGCTGCCAATGTCTTGTGTGCTGGAGATGCAACCAGCCCCCAGCACACAGTTACAAATATCTCAATTTGTGCAATGCTTCTAGGTAATACATTGCACATACTGACTCTTACCACCATAACCACTTCAAATCCCTGAAGTGGTCATGGTGGTTGGAGTAACCCTTTAAATTTAGTTTAACTTAGTTCAACAGGGATTTCTATTTTTTTTTTATATTTGGCCAGTGGTGTGTCTCTTTAAACTAAGCCCATACATATTTTTGTGAAGCACTAATTTTTGACACAATGAAACTTAGGAAACGTTAGAGATCTTAATTTATGAATCTTGGGCTTCTTAACCGGTCTTGTATTTTATGGAAACCGGTTGAATTGAATGCTGAGCTAAGAGGGCTTGGATGTTTGCATTTGTCACACATTGGGTGAATAAGGAAGAACGGGCATGAGGAAAATATGGATCTGACTGTCTAGTAGTCCTGCATGTAAACTCAGCAGTTCCCTATATGCCAATGCATGCCTCTCAAGTGTTCCTTTTTAGGAGGGACAGTCCCTATTTAGGACCTACATCCCTCCCACTTTTCTTTCCTAATGTCCCTCTTTTTCCCGGACCTCCATATAGCTAATGTGTTATAATTACAATTTAGTTACATAAATTGTTGAGTCACCTAAAATCTTCTCCGAATTGCCCCACTACTGACCACTCCACCACTCACACTCCTAAAATTAAAGTGTCCCTCTTGAAATGTTGGGAGGTATATAGTGCTGTACAGTTTTTCGTTTGTGTTTTTATTTGTTCAACTCTTGCTATTCAAAAGCGTTTCATCTCTATTTCAACACTATCTCTTTCATGTTGGCAAATAATAAGTTATTTATAACTTATGATAAGAGAACACGCAGTGACTCAGCATTATTTTTCTGGTTTTATTGATTTTTATCATAATATTGCAATCGCTGAGCACAGAGATAAAGGAGAAAAGAGATTTTATATATATTTCCTTTTAACTGAAAGAAATCTGTTAACCTGAAATAGAAATGTGACATGTTTATTTAAATATAGAAAGAAGCATGCCAAAGTGTTATCAGCGCTCTAGACATAGATCATGCTTTAGCAGTCTCACTGCCAAATTCTATGCTGTTTGGGAGTAAAATCACTTTGTTTATACAGCCAAAGCCACACCTTCCTGGCTGTGACTCACATAGCTTCAATAAAAAAAAACCTTTCATTTTACAGCACAGTGTGTTTACTTTAGAGTAGTTATTTTTATGTAAAAAAACACGTCATCAAATTTTACTTATGATTTTTCTTAAGTTTATTACATTTATTGAAGCTTAATGATTTTTTTCTTTAAAATTAACAACATTGATAACTTTTTTAAGGTAAATGTCATGTTTTATCTGGTCAAGTGACCAATTGCAGCTCAACCTAACTTGCCTGATACAGCAGGTTGAGTAGCCATTGGTCGGTTAATATGTATGTAACGGGGTTTTGGGGGTGCCCCCTAGTGTCTTTGGGGTCCCCAAACCTAGTTAACTCACTATGCCTGACAGGCGGATCCTGAGCCTCCGCTATCTGGGAGCTGGGGTACATGTCTGCGGCAGTGCCTCCACCCAGTGGAGCATCCGGGGTAGGGATGTGGGGTCCCACTGGGAACATACTTGGTGCAATGAGACTGACACAGTCTAACTGGGACTAACTTTATATGGTAAGTAGCAATTGAACCAACATACATAGGAAAATACAATAGAGTAACACAGATAACAATGCAAATGTGGATTTTCCTCACTCACCCACCAGCACACCTGCGCCCCACCCCCTTATCTTCGCCCTAGCGGCCGTTGGTGCACATAGGAGAGTTGGGGCCCTTATAAGTCCTGCTTCACAGGTCACTGAAGCAGCCTCAGATGTGTAATGTCCGTCACGGGACCTCAGAGTCTTTACTGTGAGTGAGGAGACAGGTGCCCTGTGGCGATACAGGGAGAGGCTTGGCTTACCCTCACAACACGATTAACCAGTCAGTCAGCAGCAGTCTCCTCTCACTGGATTCGCCAGACGTCTGGACTCAGTGCTTGTCTTCTTTCCTTTCCTGCAGGTCCCTCTCTCAGCTGGTGTGATCTTGGGTGAAACAAGTTCTCTCAGCCAGGCCCTATCTCTGTGCTACAGTCTCTCACATGTCCTCTCTCTGGCTCAGCATGTGGTCACTCTTAGAATCCTCCTCCCTCAGAGCTGTGCAGGAAGTCCTGACAGGCCCTGCGATGATGCCACACTCCTCTCTTGATTTCAGCAAGTCATGTGATCAAAGCTCAATGTTTTATTAACAGCATACTGAGTCCATGTGCCATCTACTGGGCATTTCAGATAATGCAGCCTGTGTAACTTCAAGGGCTACATGCTCCCCCTTGAAAATACTTGCCTTCCACTGGCAAGTCCTAGCCAGGGAGCTTAACAAAAATTCAACAGAAAAAGGTTTAGCATACCTACAGTACAGTTCGCACAGTAACATCCTAGCTAGCTAGTTATTTAGGGTAAACAGTCACTAACATTTACCACTTCAGCTAGTGCATGTAGGAAAGTGGCCATTTTAAATGCTGCTTGTGTCAGCGGGGCATAACTGGGCTCTCCTATATTATCATAAACTAGGGCCCTAGGGGGTTGCCGCACTCTGGTGCTGTGTCTCAGTTCTCGCTGGGGGAGAGGATCTTGGGACATCAACTGTGGAACCTCGACTCCTGCCCTCGAAGTAGAGTTTTTAAGGAAGTTCCAGGCACAAAACAGGGACTTTCTGGATTCAACCTTGGAGAACTTTGTGACCCAGGAGAGGTTCCGGGACTTTGTGAAACCACAGGAGTTAAAGGAGGCAATTGTTGTGTTTCTTCAGCGGGTGATGACCACCACTGATCCTCTGCACTGGGAGTTCCCGGGGTCTCCTCTGCCCCATTTCCAGGACTCTCTGCTGGGGTTTCCTCCAGTTCTTCACTACTCTCTTCCTCTTCATCAGTATACACAACTGGAAGCAGATGGTTTCTATGCCAAGCCTTTATTCGGCCCTCCGGGCCCCGAATGTTGTACACTGGCAGTCCTTCCAGTTTGGACACAACCTCAAACAGGGTATCTTTCCATCTGTCAGCCAGTTTGTGTTTTCCAGGCACACCTAGATTCCGGAGAAGAACTTTATCCCCTGCTTGAATCTCCCGATATCTCACCTTAGCATCATATCTTCTTTTGTTCCGTTCTTCCATTTTTGCTGCAGCTTGGGTGGCCAACTCGTAGGCCCGACGAAGGTTTTGTTTGAGGTTCCTCACATATTGAAAGTGTGAAGTTGAATCTGTTCCATCAGGAGACACTCCCAACCGGACATCTATCGGCAATCGAGCTTCTCTTCCGAACATTAAGAAATAGGGTGAGAACCCTGTAGATTCATGCCTTGTACAGTTGTATGCGTGGACCATGGTTTCCACATGTTTACTCCAAGACCGCTTCTCGATTTGCTTGAGAGTCCCTAGCATATCTAGGAGGGTCCTATTGAAACGTTCTGGCTGTGCATCACCCTCCGGATGATAAGGTGTGGTTCTGGACTTCTGCACCTGCAACATGCCTAACAGCTCCTTTATCAACTTACTCTCAAAGTCTCTACCTTGATCAGAGTGTAGTCGATTGGGTAGTCCATAGTGAATAAAATACTTCTGCCAAAGGACTTTGGCTACAGTCACAGCCTTTTGGTCTTTAGTGGGGAAAGCTTGAGCATATCTGGTGAAGTGGTCCGTTACCACCAGCACATTTCCAATTCCCGCTGTATCGTCCTCAATGCAGAGATAGTCCATGCACACAAGATCCATGGGTCCCGTACTTTTCAGATGACCCATAGGGGCAGCTCTCACAGGCAGGGTCTTCCTCTGGATACACCTCCTGCATGTCTTTACATGTTGCTCGACATGTTCCCTCATGCGAGGCCAATAGAACCGATCTTGTACTAGGCCATAGGTCTTGTCCACCCCGAGATGCCCATGTTGATCGTGGAGAGCTCTCAGGACCATGCCACGGTATCGGTGCGGTAGTACCAATTGTTTTCTGTCAGGGTGATCATGATACTTCACGACCCTATAGAGTACTCCATCTTCGAGATGTAGTCGGCTCCATTCTCTTCTGGTATAATTCTCTTTGATTCACAGGTAGAGAAGTCAGCAATTTAGGATTCTTAGTCTTTATTGCTCTGATAACTATCCCAATATACCAGTCCTGCGCTTGAGCCTTCCTCTTGTCTTCTGTGGTTATACTGGACCACTGTTGAAGCATGACTGGAGCATGGAACACCTCAGGCACAGCTTCGGGAGAGTGGCTAATGGAGTCTATCCCTCTTAGCTCGGCAAATTCTTCTTGACTCTCGGCCACCACATACATCTGACAAAAGGCTCCTACCCCCGGCCCAGGGATCTCTTCCCACTCCTCTTCTTCTTGGTGAGGGGGGAGTCTAGGTCTGCGGGACAGGGCATCTGCGCTGACATTCTTGGGCCCAGGCTTGTACTTCAGGCTGAAACTGTAGTTTGACAAGGCAGCCAACCACCTATGTCCTGTAGCATCCAGCTTAGCTGTAGTCTGGATGTAGGTAAGTGGATTGTTGTCAGTCCTTACTTCGAATGTTGCCCCATACAAATAGTCATGCAGCTTATCCACGATGGCCCACTTGAGTGCCAGAAATTCCAATTTATGGACTGGATAGTTCTTCTCTGCACCTGTAAGACTCCTACTTATGTAAGCCACCGGCCTCAATCCTGCTGGATAACTTTGGTGCAGTACACCCCCTAGGCCTTCCATACTGGCATCCACATGGAGGATATATGGTTTCTCAGGGTCTGCATAGGCTAAGACAGGAGCTTCTGTAAGTCTCTTCTTCAGCGTCAGAAAGGCATCTTCACATCCTGAAGTCCATTTCTCTCCAAAGGGGTCTTTAGGATATGGTGCCTTAACACCCTTTACGTCAGAGATAATCTTCAGCAGGTCATGTAACTCTCGAGCAATCTTTGAGTAGTCTTTCACGAACCTTCGGTAGTAACCACAGAATCCGAGAAAGGACCGCAACTCACCGATGTTATTTGGTCTTGGCCAATTCAGCACTGCTTCAATTTTAGCAGGATCTGTGGCTACTCCTTCAGCGGAGACTATGTGCCCCACATAAGTGACAGAGTTCTGGGCAAATCGGCATTTGTCCACTGATAGCTTCAGGCCTTCAGCTTGAAGTCGATCCAACACCTTTAGCAATCTTTGTTCATGCTCCTCTGGTGTCTTCCCGAAAACAATTAGGTCATCTAGATACACTAGACACTCTTTGGGATTCATATCCCCCACAGTTTTCTCCATCAGCCTCTGAAAAGTAGCAGGAGCTCCTGTGACTCCCTGAGGCATTCTGGTAAACTGGAAGAACCCCAAAGGGCAGATGAAAGCTGTCTTTTCCTGATCTTCCTTCTTCATGGGTACCTGATAATATCCAGACCTCAAGTCAAGCACACTGAACCACTGGCTGCCAGATAGGGCGTTCAGAAGATCTTCTATCCGGGGCAAGGTGTACTGGTCTGGCACAGTCCTCTTGTTCAGAGTACGGTAGTCCACACATAGCCGAACTGAACCATTCTTTTTCCTCACTACCACAATAGGTGAGGCATAGGGGCTCCGGGACTCTGTGATGATGCCTGCTCCTTCCATCTGCTGGAGTATGTCCCGGACATCTTCCACATCTCGAGGGGGTATTCTTCTTGACCTTTCTCTGAAAGGAGTAGGATCAGCAAGTCTTATAGCATGGGTGGCACTCTTAGAACACCCCACGTCCATCTCTGCTCTGGAGAACACTCCCTCTCGGGTGGCCAGTTTTGAACGAAGGCTGTCTTTCCACTGCTGTGGTAGGGGAGAATCTTCTAGATCAAAATCTAAAGGTGCTTTCACATGATCCGTCTGTTCTGCACTCACAGACATGATGGACGAAACTTGATCTAAAAGGTGTATTACACCAATCTTCTGATGACGATCAATCCGGATTTCCGTGGGGGTTAAATTCTGTACCATCACAGGAAAACTCCGACACCACCTTTTTCGCCAATCTTTTATCTCAGGTATGAGAGTCCACCCCTTCTTCTGATCCTCTTCAGGCAGAGACTCAATAAGGTATTGTCCAGTTCCCCCCAACATTTCATGGTGCATTGAGGCTATGGCTCGTAAGGTTTTGGTCTCACCAGGCTTCACAAATGCAGGTTCTGTTCCTGAATAGTGGCACAACCCTGGTTTTGTTGCAAGGGCTAGTCGTCGACACTCTTTTCCTAGGACAGGGCTGACCTCCATCAGTCGGTCTAAGGAGACATCTCCCACTTCTGTCAGATAGGCCCTGAATACATCCTGTACCATCTTTGCATTAGTACCCAATATTATTGGGGCACACACTTTCTTGGCTGCAGGGCATATCAAAGCTTCCAGCTCCATAGGACATATCATCCCGGTATTTAACTGGGGAATAGTTATGGTCACTTTTATGCATCCCTCCACAGGTTGAGCTTGAGACCCAACGCCCCATAGCTGAAACTCTCCTGCAGGTTCCATAGGAATGTGTTTCAAATGACGTTCATAGAAGTCTCTGTAGATAATGGTGACTTGAGAACCTGTATCTAGCAATGCTGAAGCATGAATTCCTTCCACTTGCACGTGTATCAAAGATTTAGGCCCAATCTTGGCCCCTACAGATAGACTATATGTAGGCCGGGTCTTCCTTCGCTTGTAAGACCTGGTCATTTGAGTCTCCCCGAGCTCGGTTGCCAGCACCCCCACATCCACCTCCATGGAATCCGCAGGGCACTCCCGCTGAAAATGCCCTGACTTTCCACATTTAAAGCAGTTCCCTCGGCGGGGTGAATCCTCAGGAAACAGCTTTTTCTGAGTCTTCCTGTGTTGCCCCCCACTTCCAGGGGGAAGATCTGCTCTCTCTGGTGGTGATTTGCATAAAAGCTCCAATTCAGCCACCTTCTTCCTAAGAGCTGACAGTTCTGTATTCTCTTTCTCCTTCTGTAGGGGTGGACACATCTGGTCTTCCAATCTCCTGGCTGTATTTATTAATGTGGAATAAGGCAGAACTTTATCATCCAACTTGGCTCTCAGCAGAATCATAACTGGATTACTGGTCAAACCACCTCTCTGAATTTGCTTAGATAGCCGAGCATCCAACTCAGAGGCAGTGACTGCTCCTTTATGGAATAACTTTCCAAGCGATAGCTGTAACCGGTTGATATAGTCAGTGGCTTTTTCGTGCTCCTTCTGCTTAGTGGCTAGGAACTTAACCAACAGATCATCCAAATCTTCTGATTTCCCATAAGCGTCCTGTAAAACTTGTAGATAGTCGTGCGCAGTAGCTTGCCCATTTACTCCCTTGTACAGTCTTATCATGTCTGTAGCGGGAAA